GAAACCTATAATTGAGTTAAGAAAATATATGGCTGCTACTTGTTTCAACTTGGTTTAATAATAGKTTTCTGGTGTTTATAGTCCATTGCATAATTGACAAAAGCTGGACAATGCATGCTAATGTGTGWTTACRAGTCCATTTAATTATTATTAAATATTCAAAGCAGCAAAATGTTTACAGTATTTTCAGGAACAAATTSCAAAAAAGACTTTCACAAGAGATTTTGGCAAAAGACAAGAAGACATTCCTTTACAAGGATCAGGTACTAGAAGTAATAATTATTTTTTTCTATTTAACTTATCCAAAGTTTGTCTAAAAACTGTTACACTGGATTTGATATACATCTATCAYTATTGTTTTGTTACACTCTGCATTAATTGACAAAATTGAATTTATATAATGAAGAGCATGGTGATTTAAAAGACAACTTCAACCCATGCATCCCTAGCCCATTATATGTAACTTGTTTAACTCTTGATTATTCCTTTTTTAATTTACATTGATTTCTTACCCCAACAATGATGCTATTTACAGATGCTCTCAAGGAAATGCTTGCTTATAAAGATACTTGGGAAAAATGGCGTGATGAGATCAAGCACAAATTGTCAACATTTGCCCCTTTATTTTCAAAGAAGGCAGCCTCAGCGTCCTCAACAAAGATGCTGAGTGATGAAATATCTGAATATTCAGCAGATGTAACATTTACGTTCCTGCTAGAGGTAAGTAAATAATAAAAACGATTATGTTTATGATTGTGTTATCATCGTTTTTGTTTAATYATTATTGTTATTATATTACCTTACATGTATTTATTGAAATTTGTCAGTCAGTGCTACTAGCAATTTGATTGTTTAATTCATTTAAAACAGGGAGCCCATATTACATAACACATTATTATTATTTATTATTATTTTTACTGAAACCAACTTTAAGCTATAAAAAGATATCTAGAACAAAACAAAGTGACTTTTCATGGTTTCAGGTTTTCACAGAGTGGAGGGAAATTGCTGAARTCTTAAGAGATAAAGTTTATGGTGTCAATGAACAGCATTTGATTGATGTATTCGACTTAAAGGTAATCTTTTGCATTACAACTGCTTAGCTCTAAACTTTTTTTCATTTTTGTTTTTTGTTGTGCATGCAGTGTAAGCATTGGGGACTGTTACTGAGAGGGAATTTTGGTCCTCTGTTGGGAACTGGAGACTATGGCCACAKGACCATTGAACATAGTASCATGCTGTTGAGGCAATTTGGAAGCTTGAAAGAATACTCAAATCAGTCAATTGAGTCATCCCACTCTCTCCAGAGGCAGCTACATTCAAGAGCTACATCTAATGACAGACATGGATATGCAACATCAAGTAAGTTTTAATCTTTAAGTTCATAAATAMCTCTAATGAATATAAGCTTATGGGCTTTCTTTTTTTTTGGTAGTTAAACAGCTGCTTCTTCATTTCTACTCGGAAAGACTACTTTTCTTTAGATTGTGTGTCAGAAAAGCCCTTGATTGTCTTGACAAAGGTAAGACTTGAGATGTTAAATGTATAATTCTGCATATAAAATTTTTCATATATATCTGTTAAGTATGCATAACGAAATTTATAACGATAATTTGTATCTATACATCCGCACTCTGTGCAATGTGAAGACCATCCCAACGGACCGCTGGTTTCTTCCTGGTGCTCTGGCGCTTAACATGAAAATTCAGCTAAAAATCACTATTTTATCATCTTGCAACTTTTAGGGAAGGTTTTCCATTTTGTTGGTTGTGGGTGGTCAATCAACCATGCAAAGTCTATCTCCTGGTCAGCAGAAGACATCATCTGGATAAAGGAAATGGACAATTTGCTGACAAGAATCTTTGGAGCTGATTTTCTTGGTTACAAGTGTGACCCAGTTACTAAAGTAGTGAATGTGTCAGTTGACTCACTTCCAGAGTTGGAGTATGATCACGATGAATGGGAAAAAAAGTGGGCTGAAAATATATCTTCGCGTTCCCCTTCTCCCAATGATAATAACCCGACGTTAGGTCCAAAAGTAACCTTAGCAAGCAACAAGGGTGTGTCTACAACAGTAAAAACGAAAAGTCAACATTCCAACAAGAATCCAGTAGTGGCAAGTACAGTGACATCAGGTGATATTTCCGTCCAAAAGCCAAAAATAACCTTARCAAGCAACAAGGGTGTGTCTACAACAGTAAAAAAGAAAAGTCAACATTCCAACAAGAAACCAGCAGTGTCTAGTACAGTGACATCCGGTCATAATCCCAGCCAAAGAAATTTACTCCTGTATCCAGACTTAAAAGAGCTTTCAAGCCAAGTGTTGACAAGACAACAGAGAGCAAATCTTATCCTTCCACCAGTCCTAAGTATGTCAAAAAATGATCTRAWCATCGTAGTTAACCCACTGTTTTTGACGAATCCACATGCACTGTCGGTGAGGCCTTCAGATACCATCACAGAGTTATGCCGGGAAATGCTTAACAAGGCACGTAAAGATTATACGCAGGTAATAATGCTTGATGATGTTAACAGTGGAGTAGCTGTCTCCATAGACGGTCTGGGAGTATTTGACCATCATGCAATAGACATCTGGAATAGTGCTTCCCAAGTCCAAAAGATCAAAGACGACATCAAAGGAGAGAATGCCTGGCTGAGGCCATCTCCGGGTATTCTATCAAGTAGTCAGTGTACTGAAATTAAACAAATCCTTTTGGATTCGAAGCCTTCCGAAGAAGTATTGACAACGAAAGGTGTTATTGTTGACGTCCATGATCTAACAACGCTTGTAGGTGAAAGATACTTGACAGGATTTGTAATAGACGGTGCTTGCCTTAAATACAAAGAAGATAGCCCTTCGAGTAACGTAATTTTTATCCCTTCGACATGTCAGACGTGGATTTCATCTAATGACATTCAATTTGTAATGAGAAAGATCCTTCAATATTCTGATCCAAAAGATCTCAGCAGAGCCAATAGTATTTTGACACCGATAAATGTTAATGGAAACCATTGGGGGCTTTTGTGTCTAGATCTGAAGTCTTCCGTAATATACTATGACGATAGTATGAACATTCCTCCTCCACGCGACATTTTGCACTCTGTGGAAGTCTTGTTAGAGTCACTTTTCGAAGTATCAGACCATCCTCAATTTAGTGTGCGAAACTGGAATCTATCTCTGCCACTAGCACGTTTGGGAATGCCAAGTCAACCATCTGGAAGTGGCAGTTGTGGGATGGCTGTTGTTCTTACTGTGAGAACCTTTTTGACTTCTGCAACCTTGTCCATACCACCTGCATTTTCATGGAATTTTAAGGAAATGAGAAAGCATCGCTTAATGCTGATGAACGCGTTTGTTAATTGGAAAACTAACAATGGCCAGTGACCAGCAAAATTATATTGTATACATTTGGATATTCATCTTTTATCAAATCAATTCAATTGTTAGTCATCAGACTTAATAGTATAGTCTAAGGCTCAAGTGATAATTCTGATATTCTTATTATATATTCTTATATCTTGATATACATTTTTTAACAAAACACTTCACAAAATTATTAAAATTATGGGCATGTTCAGATCTTTGAATCTTTCAGGCGACACGCCCAAGATTTAAAGCCCTTTTTTCTTTCATTTCTTGTGCGTTTTACAGGCGACACGCCCAAAACTCACTGGATTTCTTTGTTTTGCTCACTCTTTTCCTTTGAATCTTTCAGGCGACACGCCCAAGATTTAAAGCCCTTTCTTCTTTCATTTCTTGTGCGTTTTACAGGCGACACGCCCAAAACTCACTGGATTTCTTTGTTTTGCTCACTCTTTTCCTTTGAATCTTTCAGGCGGCACGCCCAAGATTTAAAGCCCTTTCTTCTTTCATTTCTTGTGCGTTTTACAGGCGACACGCCCAAAACTCACTGGATTTCTTTGTTTTACTCACAGGGTCTAACTTTCTAACTCTCTTTTTGCGAACAAGCCCAATGTTATAATATTTTTTATTCTGTTTTGAAAACTGTTCAGTTGAACAATGAGTATAAAGGTGATTTTTCTAAGAATATCGATTACACTGAAAGAAAGACTAGGGTTGGATGGTTTTAGTGTGTAGTAGAAATACTAACTATTTGTAAGTATAGAGTGGCATTTACTGAATTTGCTATTGTTTTGATAAGTATTTTTGTAAATAACGTTGTACAATATCAACACAACTTGTATTTCAAACATTCAAATGTATATATCAATTGTAAACATTTATTTAATTTTTTTTACATATATTGAATAAAAATGTACATTCCTATGTATATATAGGAAGTGAATATGGTTCTTACGTTTCGAATGACAATAATTGGAATTCTATTCGAAAATTATTCTCTGAGTCCGTGTTGTTAGCAACTTCCGTCTGCAATGTCAATGAACACTAAGTCCACTAAGGTTTGCCATACTTTRCATTAACAAATATTTCGTTATCCTTTCCTTTTTCGTTTATATCTGATACACTTGGTATCAATAACGACCACACGAAGAGGTGAAACATTTTTGTTGTTCTTTTCTATAATAATGAAAAATTTACTCCATAGCTTGCTGACGTCTAGAGTACATGAGACGGTATGAGAGAACAAAGTAATGTCACTAATTTTACAGATATAATAACTTTAACTGATAGTTAAACTCTTGCAGTTAATGTTTASCATGTTTATAAACAGTCACGATTCGTGTCTCCGCGGACGATACTGATTTTCACAAATCCGTTTTCTTAACGAAAAAGCGCAAGGTTAAATGACCATGCTGGGTCATTTCAAACAAATTTGGCCACCAAATTATCTCCATCTCTCTTGTCGCCCTTCCCTCGCCTTGACCAATTTCTATTCTTGAGTGCATCGATGGCTGTTTGTTTTGTTGCTGGATGTGAGACTGAGCGCTGCAGTCCCAAGGGTTTCGGACCAACGCGGCTTGAATTTCGTCTTCTAGCGACAATTCCTGGTCATTAATGCTATCTCTCCCAGAAAAAAATGCTCCGTTCTTTAATGCAACTAGATTCTGCTCTTGGATGCATTCTACGACTCTCTCGAAGTCAAAGCANCCATGCACAACAACCGGCAAAGACCACAAACACACAGCAAACAAACCTTCAAACCGTAAGCACTCAAACCACAGCTCAAAACGCCGTTCCTGATACTTCAGTCACAAGAGGGAAGCAACTTGTGGAGTTAGCTAAGCAGAGAAAARGAAAACGTARCATCGAAGTGACGCAAACTCAAAACAGCCCTTTCAAGCGCCCTAAAGTAGTTGAAAGTACGACGCGTTCAGCAAGTAATGTGCATTGTTTTAAGGAAATCAACCCGTCGTTACTTGCTCCCATAAAGGACAAGAAAATTGGGCGGGGAACATTTGGGGACTGTTATCTAACTGTCTATAGAGGTGAATTCCAAGTCGCCGTCAAACAAATCAAAACCGCGAATGACTCTTCAATCGAAAATGAAAGGGCGAGACGAGAGGTTCTGCACGAAGCGTCAGTTATTACAGAACTAGGCGACCACAAAGGCCTCCCCCATTTGTTTGGGATAATAACTGCATCTAAACCACACGGCCTTGCCCTCCAGTTCCACCATGTGGGCAGCCGGAGTTTAACTTTGAGCAGAGCGGCTTCAACTGAACCGATCGGGTCACATTTGCCCACGGCAAGTTCGATCATAAGGGACATTTGTGACACTTTGTTATACATTCATAGTCAAGGTTTCCTCCACAACGATCTCAAAGGGAACAACGTTGTACTTGAAAGAGCATCAGATAATACTTATAATCCAGTCATAATCGACTTTGGAAAAAGTGTAAAGATGTCTAAAGCGAGGCTATGTAAGCCAAAAGTTAATGTGGACGAGGCAATAAAACAGTTYCCGCACATCGCCCCTGAAGTCCACCGTGGGCAGAAACAAACAACTGCTAGCGACGTCTATTCTTTTGGATATCTACTAGCAAGGTTTGCTAAAAAAACAAGCTTTGACTTACTTTTTAAAAATATCGCAAAGAAGTGTTCATCCACTTGTCCAGCCAAAAGGCCAAAACTAGATGAAGTTAGTGCCATGTTACAAGAACTTTAGATACTACTGAGTATAAAATAGTGTTTTTTTTGTTGGAATATGATTATTAGACACTAGAGTGATATTCGAATATTCAGCGGACTGCGAAATAGTTTCTAAGCTAATCGACACTAGGTCTAGCTAGTAAACACTAAACCCATAAAATATTTAGTGTTTTCTTTTGGAATATCACTATTAGACACTATCGATCAAACACTGACTATGCCACAGTCCGAAATCACTATTCATGTAAATAATGTTGAAACAGTGAGCTACGGCAGTGAACTTGGTTTTTGATAAATACTCGATGTAAAGTTAATGTTCGTCTCGTAGATCAAGCGTTTATTGTACTTGATATATATAACTGAAAAATTAAATGGAACGCAGAGTTTTAATTATACCATGAGTAATCAGTAGACTGTAATCCTCATGTGAGTTTCTGGTATATATCGTAATATGGTTTTGACAGGTATACATGTCTCACGCTGAGACGCATTG